GATTATGGAAGCACAGGATAGCCCAGTGTCCCCTCCTGGCATTGTTCATGCAGGGATGGTGGAAACCAGCCCTGGCTTTGGGGTTTGGGGCCGGGTGGGCATCGCGGCCGCTCCATAATTAATAATTAACGGAGCGAATGCCTGGGAATCAGGGGAGGAGAAAGATGCACGGCCCAGATACGGCTGCAGAGCAGAGCTCGGGGCTGGCAGCCGTCCCTCCCTGGGGGCTGTCCCCAGAAACCAGCTCCTCAAAGTTTTGGGGTGTTTTCAGAGGGAAAATCCCAGCTGGGATGGCAGGAACAGGCTCCGCTGCCCTTTCGGGGTGGTGGCACTTTGGGTGACAGCTCAGGTGGTGTCACCGTGCGGTCCAGGGCTGGTCCCTCTCCGTCACCATCCAGACCCATCCCAGGGCTCTCAGCCTTTGGCAGTGTTTGGGTCACTGTCCAGGGGAAGCTCCACATGAAGCCACTGGATTTGGATTGTCCCCAGCGTGGTGGTGGCAATGTCACCTTTCAGCCAGGGCTGGTTCTCGGGGTGCTGTTGGCATTCCTGAAGCAGAGCAGGATGTCCTGGGAGTTGAGTGGGAGTGTGCAGGGAAAACCATGAATGGGAGCTGTGTTTTAGATGCAGGAGCCATCCAGGGACCATCCCTATCCCACAGTGGTGACCCTGGAGGGCAGAGCCAGCCCTGGGGAATGGCTGGGAAGGGATCCCAGGAGCATCCCAGGAGCTGGATGCACAAACCCCCAGCATTCCAACGGTTAATGCACTGAGGGTTTGGGAAGGGATAAAATGCCGGGCTGGGGAGTTTAAACCAATTACTCTTGGAGTCAGGACCAGGCATCCTAGGGGGCAGCTTATCCCCCAGTTGCCCACTGTGAGGTTCTCACACTCCTCTTATTGTGGCTTCTGGACTGTTGGAGTGAGGGACATGGTATTGGAAGGGACAGGGAGCCCATCCAGCCTGGAAATATCCCCGTTCCCACAGCTGAGACAGCTGGGAATCTCAGGGGATCCTCGTCCCGCGGGAGACGAGCTGGGGAGAACCAGTGCACACCCACCCCTGCCTTCCACACAGTCTCACTCGAGCATCTTAATTGCTTTATGCCTTAGTTTCCCCTTCTATAATTTAGGGATAAGGCAACTTCCCTGCTCCCAGAGGGCTGAGAGCTTTAATTAAAGTTTGCAAAGTGCTTTTCGGTGGTTGAATGGAAGGCGCCAGCTCGGTATTGTTCCGGAAATGCCCCAAAGGTAGGAAAGAGAATGGTTGGAGTCCCGGGCCGGGGGTGGTTCTAACACATCCCGGTGCCATAAGGCAGCTGTTTCCATCGGCTGAGCAGCCTTCGAGTCAAGGGCTGGCGCTGCTGCTCCCAGGGAACACAGAGAGGTGGGAATGCCGGCCCCGTGCAGCGCTGGGAAGGCTCCGGAGCAGAGAGGAAAAGGGGTGATTATCCCGGGGGATGAGCTGTGGCAGCAGCTGCGGGATTGCAGGACTGCCAGCAGGGAAAAGCTCGGGCTGGGCTGGGCTGGGCTGGGCTGGCAGCGGCGGCCGAGCAGCGGCACCTAGTGCTGCCGACCCGGAGCTGGGCAGCATCCACAGCCTTCCTGCCGCTTCCTGGATCCCGCTGCAGCGTCTGGGATCCCATCTACAGCATCCCAAACCGCTGGCTGCAGCATCCTGTATGTCGTGCCTGCAGCATCCCACACCACTGCCATCCTGCATCCTGCACCACTGGCTGCAGCATCCTGTATCCCATCTGCAGCATCCCACACCACTGCCATCCAGAATCCTGCATCCTGCACAGCTGCCTGCAGCATCCTGCATCCCTTCCAGTAGCATCCTGCACTGGTACCCAGGGCATCCACACTGCTTCCTGCAGCATCCCTCATCCCCAGATGCACCATCCCACATCCCTCACCACTTTCTGCACCATCCCACATCCCTCACCACTGCCTGCAGCATTTGCACAGCTGCCTGCAGCATCCTGCATCCCTGACTGCGATATTCCTCACCACTTCCATCAGCATCCTTCACCCCCTGGAGCAGCATTCCACACCGCTGCCTCTGGCATCCCGCATCCCTCACTGCAGCATCCCACATCCCTGGCTGCCTGGCATCCCCCCCTGGGTGCTGCAGCATCCCTGGCCACGTGGGTGCTTTCAGCATCCCAAATGGATCCCTGTGTCCATGCTGCCATGTCCATGCTGGTGTATCCACCCTCCAACCCAGCCCGTGCTTCCAGCCCTGGCATCAAGGATATTTGGGGTCTGAGTAGGATGCTGGGGGTCCCAGGCAGGTGAGGAGGGAGGGATCCATCTGCCCAGGGATGGATCTTCCCCACTGCCTCTGCAGGCTCCTGGGACAGTGTTTGACCACCATCAGGGTGGAAAAGGTTTCCTGAAACCGACAAGTGGTAAATTAATGATGGATAATTGTGATTATGGTCCTGGCTGGAGGGGTGGGGGTGGCTCTGAGTGTTGCCCCGTGTGGTCACTGGGTGTCATCCCACTGTGCCCGTGACATCCTGACACCTGTGACTGGTTTAGCTGCTCCCACCATTCCATGCTGATCCAGGCCCAGCCCAGACTCCAGGGGGATGGTGCTGTCATGAGGGTCCCCTGTGCCCGTTGTCCCCGTGTCCCAGGTGTGACCGAGCGTCCTTCTCCCACCTGGGCTTCTCCAAGGCAGGAATGTGCAGGGAAGTGGAGCTGGGAGGTGGCAGCATCCCTAATCCTACAATACCCCACTGTCCCACCTTGCCATGGGAAACTGAAGCTGGGCAGGGTGGCTGCGGGAGCGCCCCTGGAAGGAGCTCCTGGAAGGACAGGGAACAATTTCTTGCCGGTCCCTGAGGAAAACCGAGCTTGCTCCCGGGTCCCAGCACCGGACCAGCTATGCCAGGACCCCCACAAGCAGCCCGTGTCTCCCTCTCTCCCAGGTGAAAGTGTGGTTCCAGAACAGGCGGACGAAATACAAACGGCAGAAGCTGGAGGAGGAGGGCCCCGACTCGGACCAGAAGAAGAAAGGCTCCCACCACATCAACCGATGGCGCCTCGCCACCAAGCAGTCGAGCGGAGAAGACATCGACGTCACCTCCAACGACTAAAGCAGGGACAGGCTCCTGGTGCAGCCACCATGGAGAGGAACCCGGGGGAGGCAGGGGGGACACAGGCGGCGGCACCCAACGGACTGTAGGGACGTCGCCGAAGCCGCCGCCGCTGCCCGCGGCCTTTCCTCGGGGGCGCCCCGGCCTCACCGGGGACCCCCGGCCACCCCCCGGGCATCCCTCGGAGGGGCTTTTCGGGAAGCTCCCGCCGCCGCCGAGCCGAGGAGGAAGAGGAGGAGGCTGCCGGGGCGGCCCCGGGACGCGCTGGAAGGCGCCCGTCAGCCATGAGATCAAATCCACACGTCCTGCCCAGAAGCTCCGTGTGCCCAACCCCTTCTTCATTTTTCCCCCCTTTTTATTATAATTTTTCACCTTTTCCTCCCGCCCTCTCCCCCCCCACACCGCCCCTGTTGTCGTTTCATCGTTGGTTTTTTTTTTTTTTTTTTTTATTACACAGTTTATTTTTAATTTATTCTGTTCTTTCCGTGCCCGTGTGTGCGTGCGTTCCCCGTCGTAGGTATCAGCAGCTGTAGTGTGTGTTCCTGCGTGGTAATAAAAGGCAAAATGTGCTGGAAACCCGTCTGGTTGCCTCGTGACGGAAGGAGGGGGGGAGACACAGTGACAAGCGGACCGTCCCCATTCCCATCTTGTGGGATGGGTGTCACTGGGAAGGGCTGGGAGCGATGGAGCTGGGAGAGCTTGGTGGGTGTAGGGGAGGTGAGGATGGGGGGGTCTCCCTCGAGGGTCCTGGGGCCACCACCGGGGTGGCCACAGGTATGGCAGGGGTGGCCACAGGTATGACAGGTATGCGGCGGCTCCGGGGCCGGCAGCTCCACACCTGCGCCGGGGATTGAATGTCGGGAGAGGTTCCACACGGCTCCAGATCCCCCCCGGGAATATCCCCTGCGGGGATCCCCCCACAAGCCATGGGGCACCCAGGGCTGGGGAAGGGACCCCCCACGGGTCCCCAGGCACTCCTGGGACCCCCCCAGGAATGAGGGACTTGAAGGGTTGGGAGGGTTCTTGGGGGATAAAGGTTGGGCGTTCTTCCCATCTGGAATCTGGGGGAAAAGACAACTTTTAAATTATTTTACATATTTATATAAATAATATTATTAATATATTTTATATATTTTCTCTAATATATTATATATATTTTTATATAAAATATATAAAATATATAGTATTTTATATAAAAATTGTATTTGTATATATGTGTGTATAATATTTATAAATAGGTTAACATATATAGTATATAGATGTACATTACATATATAATATATACTTATTTACAAATATATATATTTATAAATACAAAATATACACACACAAATGCAACCATTTTATATAAAATATGCCATATGCACATATACACTTATACATATATATACAAACAAATTATATACATATAAATATGTATGTAATGTGTATATTCTAGTTTGTGATTTACATTCTATAATTCAAGAGTGTATATGCACAAAATCTATTCAGACATTTGTGCGTATAATATATATAAAATGTTTTTTATATATTATATATAATATATACGTGCATATATAATATATATGGTATTTTATGTTTTTTGTATATTATATATAATATCTAATGAAACAAAAGATATCTATTTACTTACATATTTTCTTATGCCTACTAGGTTATAATTATAATTATCCATATATTGTATGTTTTAACATTATACATATTTTGTGATCCTCTATGTATAATGTATAATTATACACACACACATGGATGTAGTAATTCCTGCTTTGGGAAAACCCCCTCCCCGCATCCCCTCCTGCCCCATCAGCTTCTTCCCTGTCAAACCAGCCCCTAAATCCCCACATCCACACCATCCTTCCCATCAGAAATCCACAGGGAGCGCAGCAGCTACGTTTCAAATTCCTTTATTCCAGGCAGATCCGAGTGTTACACCAAGTGTGGCGGTCGGTGACTCCACCGAGAAGGTTAAAAAGAGCCGGAGGGCGTGGTGGGGGCCCGGGGGATCTCTGGGTGTTCCTGGGGGTGTCTGGGGGATCTCTGGGTGTTCCTGGGGGTGCCCAGGGGTGCCCACGCCCTGGGGGGGGCTGTGGAGGGATTGCTGGAAGACGTGCCGGTGCCGGCAGGTGACCCCTCTCCCCATCCCGAGGGATTTGCTGTTATAAGGTGCATTCAGGTCGGGGGGATGAGATGCCACGTGCAAAATAAGCCGTAAAAAATGGGATGGGGGAAGCCAAAAGTGGATGTTTCCTAAAGCAAGCCGGGGAGATGCCTGGAGCTGGGGGCATCTCCCACCACCAGGACCACTCCAAACCTCCGCATCCAGCACTGGGAGTGCTCCCAGAGCCAGGCCGGCTTCCCAGGTGAGCTTTTGCACCCTAAAAACCTTTGCCTGAAAGGTTCTTCGCAGCACTCTGGGAATCCCTGTACTCCTCCAAAGGGAATCCCAGGCTCTGGATCTCCATCCCAGCCCTCCCAGAGGAGCCAGCCAAGGAGGAGGGGACACCAACATCTCTCGGGCGACGTGGCATTGGTAGAGATTCACCAGCATTGCTTTTCCCAGAGTGGCAGGATCCAGCCACTGCCAGGTTATCCCACATCCCACCCACGGGGGTGCCCTGCTGCCCATCCTGCCAGGAGCTGGGCACACACACCGGGATGCAGGGCAGGAAAATGAGCAACAAGCAAAAACGGAGGGAGCTGAGCTGTGCCCAAGGTTTGGGATGGGGTGACACAACCATGGGGTTGTCCCCTGGTTGTCCCCCCGCCGGCTCGGGGAGCAGCCAACAGACACGTCTTCCAGGAGAGACTCCAAACTTCTCGCTGGCACCTTTTTGCTGCAACCTGGTCCTCATTATTTCTTAATTAACATATCCAAGAAATCAATTAACTGCGACATTTCTAATTAAATACTACAGGAGACGATCGTCTCATTATTATTATTATTATCTGCCGAGGTGAACAACTTGATGTGTGCGGCGGGTTCCGCGCTCCCCGTTCCTTCCACTCCCCCAATTACAGGAAATCAGGGATGCAAAACGGTTGGGGTTGTTCTCGCAAACCCAAGGCTCCGTTTTGTACATTAGGAAAGTCGAAGAGATTAATTAGCTACTAAGTGAGTGTGCATAATGTTATCATTAGCTGTTGTGTGTGCAGTCTTTCCTGGCACAATTTGCTGTCCCTAATAAACAGCACTAATGTGCTGCTGCTTTCCCAGCTCCACGGTTTTCATCCCCAGCGCCGTTGGAAGAGTCGAGCGTGGTATTTTCGGAGCTCACCAGCAGTCCCATCACCGTGGCAGGAACCAAGATGATCCAGTGCTGGGGTTTCTGCGTGGGGGAGCCCAGACCTGAGCTGCCTGCCAGTGAAATGGTCTTTCAAGATCCACAAGGGTGAGATTTGGGTCTGCTGAGCCTTTCTGCTGCTTTTGAATAAAATTGCATCTCGACACCTCCTGGACATCTAAACCACGTCAGTTCAGTGTCCCAGCTGGGGACAACATAGCCTTGGTGTCCCCGTGCTGGGGTGACAAAGGACTGTTGGTTGCCCAAGAGTCTGGGACCACAGGGCCACCAAAACGTGCCCCTCATACAAGTACCTCGTCCTGCTTGTCCCCAAGCTGGGGACAGCGAGGGGAGAACAGAGGGGTCTGCACCATCCTGATTGGCCAGAGGAAGGGGACGCACACGGACACGAGGACAAGTCCTGGGGTCTCCAACCTCATCAGTACTGTTGATTAAAGTGCCACCTCGTCACACAAGACCTGCAGGTGGGGCGTGGAGCGACCTGCTCTAGTGGAAGGTGTCCCTGCCCTGAACGAGTTTTAAGGTCCCTTCCGACTCAAACCATTCCACGATCCCAGCATTCTGTGCTTTCAGAGATTAGAAAAGTGAACTGAGCCCCAGGACCTGGTGGCTCTCTGACCTCCCATCAGCAGCATGTCCCCAGTGCTTTGGGGTGGGGGGGCTACAACATTTCGAGTGTCATTTGAACAAAACGTGGGAGCGAACGTCACCAACCTGCCCGAGGCTCTCGGAGGGGTAACCCCTGGGGAATGTCTGACTCAGGCCCTGGGATGTGTTGATTTCTCAGCACAAACTCTGCCGAGTTGACTGAGACCCATTTTCCTGACACATGAAGAGAAACAAGTTTGACGGGGTTTGTGCGGGCAGACGCTCCATCCAGACTCATTTAGACCGTTTGATTGGCACTTGTTTGACGGTGCAGCTGCCTTTGAGCCGAGCCACAATCTCACAGCACGGCTCCTCTGACATCCCTCAAGCTGGTCCTCACCCCCTCTGGCAGGATCAGGCCCTCCTGATTCACTGGAGGTGCCTGGCTTAATAAATCCTGAGTCCAAGACTGATTCAGTCCTCATTGATAATCGCTGGATTAAAATGATGAGCACCCCCTGCTAATTAACGACCCTCAGGTGGTGCACATGCAGGGAAAACATCCACACTCCCTTCCCATCATGGGGAAAATTGGGAACTGGCTCTTTCCCACGGCAGAACTTGCTCAGTCCATGCTTTCCCTTGAGTGTCTCCTGAAGAAATACACACAGCAAAGCCCTGATTCCTTTCCCCCACTGGAAATTCCTCGCTCCAGCTGCAGACCCAGCAGGTGGCTGGAGCTCACAGCCACACAAATCTTTGATTGCTGATCATGATGCAAAACCAAATCAGCACCTCCCTCCTCGCTCCACCTCTCTGAAACCTCGTGGCAATGCACAGTCTCCATCTCTCCTTCCTTCCCCCTCCTCAAAACAAAAGCCTGGGATGAACAAGCAGCAGAGTGGTTCAGGCAGCGACAAAACCCACCGGGAAAGGGGAAATGATCCACCCAGATAGACTCCAAAGCCAGGAGGCTTCTCCCTGTCAACACAAGAGGCTGTTTCTGTCTCAGCCTTGCATTTCCATCCAGGAGGAGGAAGGCAGCAAGTTGTGCCTCGGTGCAGCACAATGAGGTTTGGCTCCCCATTTCCCAGGGCTCCACAGAGCCCTAAACCGGAGTTTTGGGCTCGGAGTAGCTCTTTCCCACACACATGGATGTGTGTGCAAGGGGGTACCTGCACCCTCAGCACCCCACAGTGGTCCTCACCCCCTCCCGACCCCCTGCAGCAATGGGAAGGGCCCGTTTCAGGTGCACAGCTCATCCCAGCTGGTTCTCCAAAGCCTTGCCACTGCCATTCCCATCAGCAGGCTGCTCTTTGGGAATCGCCAGCATCCCTGTTCCCCTTCCCAGGGCTCCTCTCTCACTGCTGCAGGGAGTTATCCACTCACAGGCCAAAATCCAGGGCCTGATCCTGCACGGTGCTGCCCACAGGACAGATGCTCGTGAAAATGGCCATGGGGCAGTTGCCACCTCCCTGCAGCCTCTCAAATCCCACCCGGAGGAGATGGAGTGGCCTCCTGTCCTCCAGAGCGTACATTCATCTCATCTAGTGCATTAAGGGAATTCTGCTGGCTCAAATCCAGCTGTGCCTTGCCCTGGTGTAAATCCAGAATAGCTCCAGCAGTGGATCTGGATCCACTCTGGGTTTCCATCGGTGTCAGGGCCCTGGAGCTGCCCCATGAACAGCAGATCTGGAGAGCCCAGACCCAGTCCGGTCCTCCCCTCACGCTGGCATGCAAATCCACAACAATGACTTGTTTTGTGCAATTATTCCTGGTTTACACCAGTGCAGGGACAGAATCAGTTCTCCTGAGCTGGCCCAACCGTGTGTGACTCCAGTTCCTACGGATCTGACTCCAGCCAGGAGCGAGAGCAGCCCGTGGTGGAGGACACACAGCGGGGTTCAGGCCTCCCGATTCCAGGCATTGCAATCAATCCATCGAGTACATTCTGTGTCAGTGGTGATTTGGTTTCCTCTGCTCCCCCCTCCCCAAAAAACCCCAACAAACTGGCATTTGATGGATGACAACCTGCCCATTCCTCCACGCCATGGTCTTCTGCTGGTGGCCATGGTCAAAATGAACCCCTCTGGTCCTCAGGGAGTCACTCAGGGTTTACTTTTGGGTAGAAGATACCAGAAAGCCAAATTATGGCACCGAACCCATGTGAGGGCAGGACTCGGTGCAGTGATGGGATGACTTGCCCCTCACCCTTTTAATCACCCCAAAGTGGAGCCATTGAAGAGATGGACAGACAGACAGGAGAAGGAGAAGGAGAAGAAGGAGAAGGAGAAGGAGAAGGAGAAGAGAAAACAGAAAACAGAAAAAGAATTCCAGTAGGAAGGGACCTGTAATGACCATCCAATCCAACTGCCTGACCACCTTGGGCTGATCAAAACTTAAATCATGTTCTGTCCTTGGACAACTATCTTAGCAAAGCATGGTTTAACCAATTACCTTAGATTAACAATTTTAATTTTAGAGGTTAGGCGGGACAATCCCCATCCTTTCTGGCTGTGCAAAGGCAAAGAGCAGATCCATCATGATTTTTGCTATGAGACCCCTTCCCACTCAGCATGTGGGTGTGGTGGCTTTCCAGTGTCTTGAAATCCAGGGAAAAGCCCTTGTGGAATGCCTGGTGGTGGGATTCAGTGACAGGACGAAGGGCAGGATGCCACCAGGACCATCCACAGGAGGAGGAGGGAGGAATGAAATCTTCTTTAGCTCATGATCACTGGGGTGGGATCAGTGTGAGATCAATGCAGGACAGCTTCCCAAACACCTTATCAAGAGTTTCACATTCCCTCTGATTCTCTAGGGAGTTAATTTTGTGCAGCATCAGTGTGGAGACTTGATTCACTTGGAGAACAAAACTTGCTCGGTGCAGTCCACGCTCACGCAGTGGGGTCTGACCACGTCCCTCCGTGCAGTGCTGTTAATTCTGAGAGTCTTCGTTAGCTACTTCTAAAGTGTTTGAACGTGATTTTGTTGCTGTTGTTGCTGCTCCTCTTGCCTAAGTTAAAACTTTTTAAATATTAATCTTTTTGACTGGTGTGAGGTGTCAGCTCTCTGCAAGTGTTAATTCACTCCCGCTCTGCCGGGAGCACTAAGACGTTACTATCGCTGAGCTCGGTTATTTTGTCTTGTTGTTGTTGTTGTTGTTGTTGTTTTCTTTCTCCCAGTCAGCTTCTCAAGCTTCCCCCTTTTTTCCCCTCCCCAAATCTTCCGGGCTGAGGTGATCCTCTTCCACTTACAGTCCTTTATTGTAGATCACAGTCTTACTGGTGGTGGCCATCGCGATCTCCGGCTCCAGCCGAGACGTCTCAATCTGCGAAATCAAAGGGGAGGCGAGATCAGAATGTTGTGCTGCAGCAGGAGCTCCACACATCAATAAATCAACGTGGAGAAGCACGGCATGGAAATAATTCCACGCCAATCTCGCCTTCCCCCGTGTCATTTCAATGTGCTTTAGCCTGCTCGAGCCTCGAAACAACCCTGTGTGGATTGACTCGTGCTACAGGAAATGGTGCCTGGCAACATTCAATGAATTATAGAGTGTCTCCGAGGCTCTCCCATCATTTTCCAGGGGAGAACCCTTCCTCTTCCCACAGCCAAGGTGCTGTAAGGAATCCAGTCCCCAGAGCTGTGGTTTGGACCTGGAAAAAAACCGAGGTCTGAGTGGTGCAACCAGGGGACAACCTCGTTCTGCGCCATCCCCCAACAGGGTTGGATCACAGCTAAAATCCACCAACCCCTTTCTCTGCCTCCATAAAATCTCCAATCCTTTCCTGAGTTCTTCCTTTTGCCAGCTTCTCGTGAAGCTTTCTCTTGCTCTGAAATCACTCCAAATCTTTGCATCCCTGGGAGGAATCCATGGCATTCCCAGTTCCCACGACAAGCAAAGATCCCGCTCCCAACCGGGACAGGGCACCTCGGAAAGCCTGGAATTTTAGAAATCCTATACATTGAGTCGATGCTGTTGCTGACACAATGCTAAGAACCCACGTTAAAAATCGAAATGCTTTTGAAAATGTTTAACCTAGTTAGACAAATTAGCAAAAATTTGTGCAAAACAATTTAGGTATTTAAAATATTCAATGTTTTTAAAAACTGGAAAAACTGTTCTTAGCTTTCAGCTGCAAAAACCCAACAAAATATAACATCAAAGCAATCTTAACATGAGGTGCAACATAACCCTTCAGCAAAGCTGTTAAACAGCTACTGAAGCATCATGGGAAATAGCACTTCATTTATTCAAATGCACATATGTCAGGTTTTTGCACCATATGTCATTCCAAGCTATTTACAGTAATAATTAAATCTTAATCAACGTTTAACCTCTGTAAAATGTTTGAAGGGATCTAATCACCCTTCAGACTGCACTAATGAAGGAGAAATATATAAACATAAAAAGAAAATGATGCATAGATAGCACACCAGAAAGAACAGTAATTGCAAAATTGTATTTCTTTTAAATATAATCAGCAAATTATGTAAAGTAAGCCAACGAGTATTTTAAGTGAAGACATCTTGGGTGTCAGAGGTGTGATCAGCTAATTTTGTACTGCTATCCATAACAGATGTAGCATATTTTCTTTTAGTGCCATTATTAGCAACTTCACCATCTCTTTCTGTGCTGAAACCCGGAGTGGAGCATTGTGGTGGGGAGAGCACCCGGCAAAGGTGCAGGAGAGGCGATTCTCACGTACCCCGGCACCGGCGGGATCCGCTCGCAGGGAGGATTAACTCCGATCTGCCTGGCTCTGACGCAGCTTTTCCTCCCATTGTTGTCGGATTTCTCCTTCCCAGGGGACGGGCAGAGAAGCTCCCGGGCTTTGGGGGCGGGTGGCTTCACCCACCGGGTAGGGAAATATTCATGGGGGGAAGCGGGAAGTGGGGTCACAGCCCACGGAGGGGGTTCAAGGAACGACGGGGTGTGGTGCTTGGGGATCAGTCAAAGGCTGGACTGGATGGTCTTGGAAGTCTTTTCCAACCTTAATGATGCTGTGAAGTGCTTTAAAATGAACTGGAATTGGGGGGTTCAATGCTCACCGTCGGTAGGGATTGTGGGATATGGGGCAGCTCAAAACCCAACCTACTACCGGGATGTCTCCACGGAGAGCCCACCACAATCCCTCCCTCTCCAGCGGGGACTGGAGAGGTGGCGGCTCCAAGGAAAGCCACATCTGCCTTGGTGGACCCCAAATCAGTGGTTCTGAAAGCACGACCCGCAGGGAAAGGCTGAGGACGCGGACGTGCCGAGCCTGGAAGGGAGAAGTTCCAGGGGCGCGCGGTGGGATTTGCGTGTGCAAGGGGGGTTTTGGAAGAGGAGAAAGGAGGAGTGTTTTGCTCACGCTCCCTTGGGACACAATTCAAAAAGCAGCGAGTGCGATCCAAGCCGAACAGCAGGAAGAGTATCCTAGTGGGAAGGAGCAAAATATCACAACCAAACGCTTTGGGGAAGGTGTGGGGTGTCTGTGGTGGGAAGTTTTCAGCACAAATGAGATGAAACCCGTCAGGAATAGTTTAAGCAGAATTGTCTTGGTGGAGGGAGACAGATGAGATAATTGCTTGGAGGTTCTTCCAGCTTCCTCCCCACGGGTCCAGGAGGGAAATGGCTTCGTTCCCTGCACGGATGAGCTCTTCATCCGCAGCAAGGCCGTTGGATGAGGTGGTTTTAGGAAGGATGGGATTGAAGTGGGACAGTTCAGAGAGAGATTATGGTGTCTGAGGAGAGGGACACAGAAATCAGTGTCTAATTTGGAAGTGTTCAGAAAACACACTGATGTGGCCTCTGGGCACACGGGTCAGTGGTGGCCCTGGCAGTGCCAGGGGAATGACTGGACTCCATGATCTCAGAGGGCTTTTCCAACCTTAATGATTCCATGATTCTCATGCAGGATGGACCCCTCTGAAGACCTTGGAAGGAGATACAACCAGTCACAGGCACTGGTTTGGAGCTGTGTAATATCAAACTCACTCAAGCCCCTTTCCAAAGCCTGGGAAGATGGGAAAAGAAATTTTTTTTGGGGGGGAGGAGGTGACTGGTTGAACTGGAGCCATCTCTGGTTGAGTTTAACAAAGCAGGTATCAAAAACCTGCTCTAGAGCTTCATGAGCTCCAAGGGGTGAGTCTGCACCGAGGAGGCAGGTACAGGAAACTGGGAAAGCCTTCAGAAATCCATCAGGAGTAACTTACTCTTCCCACTGGGAAGTCAAATGGAGAAGCATTCAGGTGATGGGTGACAGGTGTTAAGGCAACATTAAATCACAACCTTATTGTTCACCAGTTCAGTCTTTGAGTCCCTCAGGGTTTTGGTTTTTTTTTGTTGTTGGGAAGTGCAATTTCACTTGTCTTGGCACAGACTGCTATTCCAGCTGTCCAGCACCCTGGACCTGCTCAGCCAACCTTCCACTGGGAGACAAATCTGGAGACCACAGTTTCTTGTAATTTTTTTTGTGTCTCAGCTTCCAAGACCTCCAGCAAGATCCTTGCTGGCCATGGCCATGCTGGGAACTCCCCCATCAAGTAATACCTGCCTCGGAGGGTGCTCTGAGGAGCAGGTTCTACCCTGCTGGGACTACACTGATGGGACCTGTCCCACCTCACACAGGGTTACTCAGTCCTTTTGAACCAAGTGTGGGCCTGGGTTTGGGTTGTGTCCATCCTCTTCCTCCCAGTGAGCTGCTGGAGCAAGGGATGGATCCTCTCCCTGCCTTTGGGATGATGGCACTGGGCTGTGCACCAGAAAATGGCCTTCAACAACGAATCCAGGAGAAGTCCTGGAGGGATGCAAGGTCATACAGCACTCAAGGTCCCAGACAGGGCTACAGGGGGCTTGTCTGGGGAAAAAACCCCAGGTTTTCAGGCTGATGGCTGCACTGACCACTTGTATCCTGACATAGCAACATGGGAGACATCAGGAGAGAGTGGGAGAAGAAGGAATTGCTTCACCCCCTGTGAAGTTCCTGCAAGTAGAAGATCCTCACCAGGGACACGCCAGGGTGCGTCTCCAAACCCATCCACAAACGTGTTCGACACGACCACGATCCATCACAACACGTGGGAACCGGCGCATCCTGAGGACGCTCCTCTTCCCACTGGCAGATATCCAAGGGGGAAAACCCCAAGGAACGGTGTCCCCTGACCTTACAGAGGCAACTGTTTATAATAATCCAGCCCCACGCAGGTAGTGCAGGGGTGGGGGGGTGACAGCACCGGCCTCTCCGCGGTGCCCGTGCCCCCCCCCCCCCCAAAATCCATCCCCGCGGGGAAACGAGGCCACCACACCGGGAATCGCCTCTCCCGGTGCCCGGCACGCGCCAGCTCTCCTTCCCCCCATCCCTGCCTTTGCAGTGGGAGCCTCTCTCCTCTCATCAGCACAGACAAGGCTAATTGGGGTGATAAAGAACTGGCTCCGAGTGCTGGCGTGGGCTGGAGGAACAAATGGTGCGGTGGTCACAGCTGGTGCTGCGGGGATGGGAGGGGGGAGAGGGTGTGAGGAGGCTCCCGGCGCCCCGAGTTCCCTCAGCCCGTGTTGGATGCGGGGTGGGGGGTTGTGTGTGTTTTGCAATCGCTGCTGACACGGGTGTAACTCACATGCGCGGCCGGTGAAGCAGCAGCAGGCAGAAAGCAGATGCTTTTTGTTTGGGGTTGATACTCATTTCTATCCCAGCTCGGGAAAAGGTGTAGAAAGGAATGTGCTCCTAAGAGTGCAGGGAGAGAGATAGGTCTAGGCTCGCTGCCAGGGATCCTGCAACGATATGGAAGGCAGCTAGGGGAGACAGGAGCAGATGGATTTGGCATACAGCTCATCACTCAGCCAAAAAAAAAAAAAAAAAGAGAAAAAAAAAAAAGGAGAGGGTGAGGAGGAAAAGAAGGAAGAAAGCAGCCAATTTTGGTAGGGGGAGGGTCATGTGGACTGATGGATGCTGTGCTGGGAGGTGGGGGAAGGGAGGACCAGGCTGGTCACTGCGTCTTTGGCTGCTGCCTTGGCAGTGCCAGCGAGGACAGTCAGTGGTGGTCCCGGCTGGGAGCCTGGGAAGGGTGTCCTGCCCTGCCAGCAGCCCTTTGGCATCTCCTCCTGGGCCATCAGACATCAGGGCAATGGCCAAGGGCAGTGCCAGGATATCTGAGCTCTAGAGAAGTTCAGCAGGGTGTAACTGGGACCATAAATGGCACCAGAGAATCATAGAATCATTTAGGTTGGAAAAGTCCTTCAGGATCATCACTGACCTATGTCCCCAAGTGCCACATCCACATGGTTTTTAAATCCCTCCAGGGATGGGGACTTCACCCCTGCCCTGGGCAGCTGTGCCAGGGCTGCAT